TCATCGTCTCTGCCTCCATCTCAGGCATCACAATGCATCAATTCTTCTATGGTCTTCCTTATTCACTGTCCAGCTTCCACATGCATATGAGGTTATTGAAAATACCATGGCTTGGGTCAGGCGCACCTTAGTCCTCAAGCTGACATCTTTGCTCTTCATCACCACAAAAAGGTCTCAAAGTCTTCTTCACTTTCAGCAAGCAAGGTTGTATCATTTGCGTATCACAGGTTGTTATTAATGAGTCTTCCTCCAATTCTGATGCCACGTTTTTCTTCATAGAACCCAGCTTCTCAGATTATTTGCTCAGCGTACAGGTTGAATAAGTATGGTGAAAGAATACAACCCTGTCGCACACCTTTCTTAATTTTAAACCATTCAGTGTTCTCATTTTCTGTTGGAACAACTGTCTCTTGTTCCATGTATAGTAGGTGATTGAAAATACCTTGGGTATTTTCATTGGACTATTGAAATGGCTTGGGCTTGGGTCACTTTAGTCCTCAAAGTGACATTTTTTGCTCTTTAAAACGTTAGAGAGTTCTTTTGTAGTAGATTTGCCCAATCTAATACGTCATTTAATTTCTTGACTGCTGCTTCCATGGTGTTGATTGTGGATCCAAGTAAAATGAAATCCTTGACAACTTCTATCTTTTCTCCATTTATGATGATGTTTTTTATTGGTCCATTTATAAGGATTTTTGCTGTCTTTACATTGAGGTGTAATCCATACTGATGGCTGTGGTCTTTCATCTTGATCAGTAAGTGCATCAAGTTCTCTTCACCTTCAGTGAGCAAGGTTGCATCATCTGAATATTGCAGGTTGTTAATGCGCCTTCCTCCAGTTTTGACGCTGTGTTCTTTTTCATGTGTTCTAGCTTTTTGGGTCATTTGCTAAGCATACAGATTGAATAAGTATGCGGTGAAAGGATACAATCCTGACTTTTCTTAATTTGAACCATGCATAATCCCCTTGTTCTCTTTGAACAACTGCCTTTTGGTCTATGTACAGGTTCCACATTAGCACAATTAAGTGTTCTGGAATTCCCATTCTTTGCAGTTTATCCGTAATTTGTTATGATCCACATTATCGAATGCCTTTGCATAGTCAATGAAACAAAAGTAGACATGTTTCTAGTATTGTCTGCTTTAAGCCAAGATCCATCTGATATCATTAATGATATTTTTCATTCTACATCCTCTTCTGAACTTGCTTGAATTTCTGTCAGGTCCCTGTGATGTACATCTGCAATCATTTTTTAAATTATCTTAAGCAAACTTTTACTTGCATGTGATATTAATTATATTGTTGGATATAATTTACATATTCTTTTAGATAACCTTTCTTTGGAATGGTCACAAATATAGATCTCTTCAGGTTGGTTGGCTAGGTAACTGTTTTCCAAATTTTCTTGGCGTAGGTGAGTGAGCACCTCCAGCACTGAATCCACTTACTGAAGCAGTTCAATTAGTATTCAGTCAATTACTGGAGCCTGGGTTTTTGCCAGTGCTTTCAGTGCAGCTTGGACTTTTTCCTTTGGTACCATCAGCTCTTGTTCATATACTGCCTCCTGAAATGGTTGAACATTTCTCTTTGGTATGTTGTTGTTGTTGTCAGGTGCTATCGAGTCAGAACTGACTCATAGTGGTCCC